TTTAGCATAGTATTGCCTGACCTTTGAACTTGACCCCCTAAACTCTTAAAAGTCTCATCATCTTTTCCAAAGCAAAGCTACATGCATTTGAATCACCCCTTTACACATAGTGCAGCTTTTCTGCTTGTGTTCCTGGTCTCTCTCTCCTGGGTGTCTGTATCCATCCATTGCAGCACTCATATCACACGAGCTGTGCAACCGTATCTCTGTAATTCCACTGGAATCACTGCTCTGCAGCTGTGCATGGACTTTAATTGCTGTTGTTTATTTTCCATTATGTGTGCATTCACGTATAGACACTGGAGATGGGCCCCAGTCATGCTGCTTTTATGGGAAAAGGGCAAGAGTCTCCTCTATCATGCTAATCCCAGATGCCTCTTTGCTGCCCCCCATGTATTCACTACTCTTAAGGTTATAGCAACCCTCCCCAATGTACCTAGTGAGCCTTACTCACTAAGTTTGCAAGCCTTTTGGTAAAGATCCTTTTTCCCACTTGGTAAGAAGGATCACATCTGTTCTGAGTAATTTGCTCTCCTCAAAGAGGATCCTATGGTCATAAGTGCCAAAGCTCTGGCTGTGACACTAGCTATGCAGTTAGGTGTTGGCAGGCAGGATGTGTCCAAGCCTACATGAGCCTTTCTTCTTCACTGGTAGGATTGAGAACACCACTGAGTCCTTGTGTCCTTCACACATGGAAGAAGCAAGTAATGATGAGCAAGTAATAGTGCAAAATAATAGCACAAGGCCAGATGAGCCTCAATAGTTGCTCTGCAACATCCTGGATCTGATCCTACAGCAAACAAGACTCCCAAGACATCAAATCAGGTTAGGAAATGGATGCTTCTGTCCCCCACTGGAGGAAGTGCCCAGTGCCTGTCACCTGCTACTTGCTTATGCAGCTCTATTGCAAGTTGCCACCAACCATCTTTTTTGACTCTGCTGAAGGACATTTCAAGACTGAATGATTGGAAAGGAAAATGGCAGATGAAATTCAGTTTAGGTGGGTATGAAGCTTTGCACATGGAGAAGAACAAGGGTCTTTTTATAGAAAATGATGGTCTCTGAACTGACCATTACAACTGAAAATGTTAAGAAGGCGGGAATAAGTACAAGCTGTTTTTAAAAGCTACATGAAATATTACCCTGTTAAATGTATCTATTTGTATTTTATTAGGATTTAATATTATTTTCTTAATGAGTAAAGCTGATGGAATTCTAGTGTATGTTCACTACTACATTGCTACTCCCTTTTTTTTTTTTTTGACTTTGCAGCTAATTTTCAGCTTGGTCTAATGAAGGTGTAGAGATCTTTAGGATAGCTAAGTTTTTTCAAATTTAGTGAAAGTTTCTTGTGAGGTAGTGCCCTCGTTAAAGTGAAGGAAAATTCTGTCCTCATACATTCTGTTGGCCTTTGTCACTCCAGTCTTCAAAAAGGGCAAGAAGGAGGACTGAGCAAACTACAGGCCAGTCAGCCTTACCTTGATTCCTGGAAAGATGATGGAGCAGATCATCCTGGATGCCATTTCTCATAGGGTCAGTACTGGGTCCAGTCTTGTTCAACTTTTTCATTAATGACCTGGAGGAAGGGACAGAGTGCACCCTCAGCAAGTGTGCTGATGATACTAAACTGGGGGGAGTGGCTAACACAGCAGAAGGCTGTGCTGCCATTCAGAGGGACCTGGACAGGCTGGAGAGGTGGGTGGAGAGGAACTTCCTGAAGTTCAACAAAGGCAAGTGCAAGGTCCTGCCCCTGGGGAGAAATAATCCCATGCACCAGGACAGGCTGGGCCTGACCTGCTGGGAAGCAGCTCTGCAGAGAAGGACCTGGGAGTGCTGGTGGACAACAAGTTGAGCATGAGCCAGCAGTGTGCCCTTGTGGCCAAGAAGGCCAATGGTCTCCTGGGTGGCATGAGGCAGAGTGTTGCCAGCAGGTGGAGGGAGGTGATCCTGCCCCTCTACTCAGCCCTGGGGAGGCCTCACCTGGAGTACTGTGTCCAGTTCTGGGCTCCCCAGGACAAGAGAGACATGGCACTCGTGGAGAGAGTCCAGCGGAGGGCTACCAAGATGATGACGGAACTGGAGTTATCTCTCCTCTGAAGAAAGGCTGAGGGAGCTGGGCCTGTTCAGCCTGGAGAAGAGAAGACTGAGAGGGGATCTCATCAACGTGTACAAGTATTTGAAGGGGGAGTGTCAAGAGGATGAGGCCAGACTCTTCTCCGTGGTGCCCAGGGACAGGACAAGAGGCAATGGGCATAAACTGAACCACAGGAAGTTCCATCTGAACCTGAGAAAAAACTTCTTGACTGTGAGGGTGACAGAGCATTGGAACAGGTTGCCCAGAGAGGTGGTGGAGTCTCCTTCCCTGGCGATATTCAAAACCCGTCTGGATGTGATCCTGGGCAATATGCTCTAGGTGACCCTGCTTGAGATCTGAGAATTAATTTACTCTTTGTCAAATGCTATGTCCATGCTCGAGAATTTGTCTCGAGGATGTAGGGCATAGCAGCAGAGGAACAATAAGCCGAAGCTCAGATGCCGTATTTGGAGATTTGCTGTGGAAGGCTCAGCTAATTTCATGATATTATGCAGTTTCTAGAGAATGGTCTATTTTCCCACAGCACTATTGGAACAACCTTTTAAGTATTCTTGGAAGTGGATTATTTTTTATCTTCCTCTCAAAAACAAGCAGTCTGTCTTGTGAAGGGGGTTTATGTTGCTACAGAAGTTTCTCTAGCTCTCATCTATCTCATTTCTTGTTATAGTGACCCTTTACATGTATGTGGAATGAAGGAAAGAATAAGAAACTCAGAGGATTTCCCATGTTAGAATATTACGTAGTTGTATGGTACTATATTTGGGCAAGAACTGTGCAGGTAATTTCTCTAAGTGTATCTGTTAGTGTCACCAGAGAGCAGTTGCTGCATTCTATCCTGTAAGTTTTAGTGTTCATGAGAATGAGAAACCTGTGCAGAAGCAAGGGTAAAGATTTTCCCAAGTACTTTATGGAGTCCATTGTATGTATAAATGTCCCAATTTATCTTAACTTGGCAGAACGTGGTAAAAAAGGTTTAGGAGAAAAGGCAGCTTCTCTATGAGTGATATAACTTGTTATACAATGATTAGTGAGACAGCAACAAAACAGGCTCATAAATACACAATATGCTGTCATCAGTACTAGGTGCTTGAAAAATGCCTAGAACTGAAAAATATAATCTGATCTTTTTAAGCAAAAGTACTTCACACTGTCAATATTAACTACCATCTTGTAAATCTAAAAATTTTATTATAATAATGCCAATTTATATCAGAATCTGTGATTCTCTGCTAATATATCTTTACACAATTTTTGAAATTTTCAGCTAATGACAGGTTTTATCTACACAGGATCATGGGTTATTGGGACTGATAGCAGCAACAAATTAATGAAAATATTGTCTCATTATGGCTGTAGCAGAGTTACATTATGAACTGCCAGTGATCAAGTGTCATTTTTTATATGAATAAGCAATAAATTATAACTTTGAAAGATTTTCTGAATTGCAAATTTTTCAATAAAAAATTGAAAAATAAGATGAATACTGCACATGTGCAAAGAGATAGATAATAATGCATGAACTTCAGTTTAATTGTAAACTTATATTGTATTCTCTGATTTGTAGATTTGTTGGAAGCTATGTAACACAAAAGACAGACGTGTTTCTACAGATAAGGGTCAGAACTGAGAGCCACGAGCTTGTTAAAGACACAGGATGGCTGTGCAGGAGACTTAGAAAGAGCTTCTTTAATGATTTGGAGTAATTTAGCAGTTGGGCAAGGATATAATTTAATAGTGTTTTGAAAATTGTGTGTGCTGACAATAGTGATCTAATTCCCAGGAGTAAATTCAGAATTGAGAGGAGGCCTCATGTGAAATCTGTCTGAAGGCACTCTCATTTGGGAACATACTCTTGCAGGGAAGTGGAGCTGTTCTTGGATGTCGGATTCCCTTAGAGTTGCCTGGCTCATAGGAAGTACTTGAATTTACGATACCTATTTTCTTTTTGACATGTATTGTGTTTTTTTTTTCTTTTTGTATCAGCGGAAATGAGAGAGATGTCACCTACTGTTGCTCTTGATAAGCAGCTTCAGCTGTTGAGGTTTTATTCTCTCAGCTCAAATATGCAGGTTTATGAATGGTTTGAATTGTTGATGATCGCTATACTGTAAAGGTGGAAATCACTTCCTCATGTTTTAAGGAAGTGTAGTCCAATAAGATCTATCTAAATTTAAAAAAAATATGTCTTTGAGATATATAATACAGAGTAAAGGACGTGATATTTCCCATGAAGTAATTTTTTTACTGCTAATACATCTTTAAATATTAATATCTGATAAGGAATTGAGAAATCATGATTTCTTTTACAATATTAAGAACTATTTCACTTATTTGTATACAGGTTTTGAAGCTTAGTATATTATATTTTGGCATTCCAGTGATATGCAGTTTAGTTTTGCAACACAAAGAATGCATGTGGTTACTGAATTGAGGACAAAATATATAGAAATGTTTTTAAATCCTGTCCTATCCTATCCTTGCAAGATAGAAACAATTTATTAACCATTAGCAACAGCAGTTCTGTTGTAAAATAATATTATTCTGTGACCTGCAGATTATGATGTGATTCTTTTAGATATTTATGATGAGGGAGTTAGAGTATTATGAAAATTGGGAGGAAAGTTTTGCCATTCTATTTAGCATAAAATAAATTTGCACCTACTGGAAATAGCAATTAATGCAGTTAATAAGTTAAAACCACCCCACATTGTGTATATCAAAAAGTAAGATATGTTATTAATTTAAATGGGCCATGACGAAAATGTTTTCCAGGCAAAATTCTGCAAGAATTTCTAGTTTCTAATAACTTGCTATTAGTTATATCTTAATATTTACTTTGAGTTTTTTATGTGTTTTTTTTAATTAACTCAAATAACTAATCAATCTCTTTTTTTTCATTATATAGCAGATGGTACGTGAACAATACACAACAACAACACCAGGCACTAGCCTAGAGAGGCCAAAGAATGAATATGTCTATAAAATTGGCATTTATGGCTGGAGAAAGCGTTGTCTCTACCTGTTTGTTCTCCTTCTGCTGATCATCCTAGTTGTGAATTTTGCTTTGACAATTTGGATTCTTAAAGTGATGTGGTTTTCTCCAGTAAGTGTCTTCTTTAATTTCCCATTCTTTTTCTAGTCATATTCTGTTCTTTTTCCTGCCTCATTACTTCACTTATTTCTTATATTCATCAGCTTCTCTGTATGTTATTCATGGTTCTTTTTTATTCCTTCTCAATTGTAATTTGTACTTTGGCTGAAAGTATATATAAAATACCTATCTTTGAAGATACTTATCCATCTATAATTTCTGTATTAGTGATAATCTTTAAGATATTGAAGTCGTTGATGCCTTTTATTGAAGTAAAGTCTAACTGCAGTGAAAAGAATGTATTTTACTTTTATCTCATAGTCTGTTTAGTTTTTTAAAATGTATTTTCTGTAATTTTATCTTCCACAGAATTCCGTACTGTGAAAATGTTGCTGACAGTTGATGGTTTTTCTTAGCTGTCTTCTCCTGTTTATCAGTGTCTAAAATTTAACAATTTATTAGGCCGATTAATTAGAGGCCAGAGATAATTAATACTACTTCATGCTTTAGGCTAAGCAGCTCTGTTATTCAGAAATAAGTGTAATAACTTTCCACTGTGATATATATGTTAATATTTATAACATAATGTTGCATGTAGCAGATTAATAGGTAACTTAGGAAGTCTGCAAGATGTAACTATTGCCAGAATGCAATAAAATGCATGAGTGAATAGCAGAGCTAAACTAATTTATTCCTAAAATGTAGTCATGATATACAGATGATTTGAATAGACTTGCTATAACAAAAACAATAATAGTAAATTCCTACTGCTCTGCCCCTACCATTGAAGAAGGAGTGTTATACTAAAGTTCCAATCATCTGTCTTTATTATGCCTCTATCACTAAATGAAGGGCATTTTATGTTCATACAAGCATTTCTATACTCTGCTTTCTTTTACTTTATATAGGTGAATTTTAAGTGCTACTTGCTAATATAGTTATTACTGCTTGAATTCTCATAAAATTCTTTCCCTCGCATAAATTTTTGTCAGCGGTGTTACTGTCATACATGGTACAGATGCAGAACATCTTAAATAGTGGAGATTTTCTGTTATATAGTTCATAAGGATGATGTACACTTAGTGACTGTACATCATGAATCACACCGAATGTGAAAAAGTAAAATTATTTAAAATTGTTTTCTGGTGACTCATTTTTTAAAAAGGAGTCTTTAAATTAATTTTCGGTTGTTTTTTCTTCTGTATGGAATTGGATATTTGTATCAGTCAGGTCTAAAATAATAAAATATCAGAAGCTCCATTTTCAGGAACTAATATCGCCTACTGCTTATCTACGAGGAAGGCACTAAATGCCTCAGTCTGCTGACCCACAATATTTTCATGCCTTGACAAAAAGAGCAGTGGGATAACAGCTCAAGTAATGCAGGCTTATATCCTTGCACAGGGTGGACTATAAATTCTATGATTATAAGGGTTTTCCCTAATTTTCTGTTAAAAATTCTGTATTTCTGACATATACAGTTAAATAGTGACTCAACAGTAACATCTTCATTCATTTAGGATAATTCTAGGAAAATATCAAATTCAGCTATAGAACAGTAAGAACATGTGTCCAAAGCACAGGCATATGTCACAATTCCCATTTTGTAGGATAAAAGTTCTTTCTCTTTTTGTAAAACATCCTTAAATCTTTGGTAAAATAATAACTTGGAGTATACTAAAATTACATGCTCTGTCTATTCATCTTATAGTATTAATGAAACTAGGAACAGAGCTTCAACAAGCTCTGGCATAGAATTGATCCAAGGACACATCTCCTATCTCAACCCGAAAAACAGACTATGTAATAAATTCTAACAAACAAGGTAAGCTGATAAAGGAAAACATGAAACAGGTAAAGACGTGGAGCAAGATGAACAGATTTTAATCTCCTTGTAGAAATTTGGAAGGATGATGAAAGAAGGACTCTTTTCTGAACTCCATTGTTTCAAAGGCCTTCAGAATTAAACAGATAAGAAAAACCTGTATGGAATTTCTTATCATTTCATAAAAGGAAAGTGGCAGATTACACACTCTGGACTTCAGGAGAGTAGGCTTGGCTTATTTAGGGAAATGGTAGGTGAGGTCCCATGGGAGGCAGCTCTGAAGGGTAGAGGAGCTCAGGAAAGGTGGCAGGTCTTTAAAGACAGCATCATCCAAATGCAAGAATGATCCATCCCGCTACTTAGAAAGACAAGTAAATACAGCAGGAAGACGGGTAGATGTAGCATGGCATGGCTGAGCAGGGAACTCTTGACAAAGCTCCAATGCAAAAAGGCAGTACACAGGAGGGGGAGGTCAGGACAGGCTACAAAGGAAGAATTTAAAAATCTGCCTGGGCACATAGGGGTGCTGTTAGGAAAGCCAGAGCTCAGCTGCAGTTGAAACTTATAAGGGACATCAAGGGCAACAAGAAGAGCTTCTACGGCTACGTTAGCAAAGGTTTGAAGAGGAAAAATGTGTGCTCATGGCTAAAAGGGCTGGATGATTTAGTAACAGCAGACAGACAAGGCTGACGTACTCATTGCTTCCTTTGCCTCAGTCTTTGCCAGCAAGGTTTCTGAGGCCTCTGTGCTTAGTGAAAGGGTCCAAGGTGAATGACCGGCAGCGGATGAGGGTCAAGTCAGGGATTAATTGAAAGAACATGACCCACACAAGTCCATGGGACCAGATGGGCTGGATCCAGTGGTGCTGAGAGAATCAGCTGATTCCCTTGCAAAGTCACCTTCTGTCATATTTGAAAGGTCACGGAGATTGGGGAGATCCCCAACAAGTGGAGGAAGTCAAGTGTTGCACCCATCTTCAAAAAAGGCCAGAAGGACAATCCAGGGAATTACAGGCTGGTCAGCCTCACTGCAGTGTTTGCATGCATGCCCAGTGATAATCAGATAATTTAATTGCAGGAATATTAGTACATCTATATCTATCTGACATGTAAGAAAGAGTTCTGAGGATCTGTATTTTGGAATTTGATTCTTAAATTATTTATATATCTCCCATGCTAACATATGCCCAACAAACCAAATCCATATTGACGTGACTCTAGGAGGCTGCATGACTGGCGAACACTTTGGAAAAGACAGTGTTGAGCTAATCTATCTAACAGTGCTTTACACAACACATAGCATCTGAAAGCTTTACAGAGGTTAGCTGCTCAGTAGGAGGTATAAAAAAGAAGTATTTGGCCTCTGGGTGAGTTTGTTCCATGACTAATGCATGATTTTACAACTATAATCTTTATTTTCTGAACTGCTTGCATTGCTGCAGACTGGTATTTCTGAGTTTGATTTTTTTTTCTTTTCTCGTTTTTACTTTTCCCTTCTCTGTATATTCTTTAAAGAAAACTAGGTTCATAATATTGATTTCACGTTTTCTCCTGAATGTAACAATCTTTAGCTGTCCTCCCCTGCTGTCACATACAAAATTAGTATTCAGGTCTTCAAAACTTCACCCATAATACCAATACATTATCCACATAATAATCAGTGAAGACTTGGACCAAAACTTTTAAGTTATTATTGCATTTGAAGGATTATTAGGATAAGTGTTCTAAAATTCAGGTGTGAAAAATGCACCTGATCAGATGATTACCACTTCTGATTCAAAAGGAATTCTTTTTCAGAGACCCCACATTAATTCAATTATGGTAGCATTCAGTTATATAGTGTCAAAGATTATTGATAATTTCTTTTTAGCCACTGATGGAGAAACACATGGTTCCCTGTGTTACTGTGGAAACCACAACTGTCAGGCTATCCTGGAATAAGAAAGGTCAAGGAGATTCTGTACTATATTTCATGCTAGTAAGGATGAGTAAAAATGAAAAAAGAGTGTTTCCCAGGGTAACTAGTTGCCTTCCTCCAGTATGTAGTTTAGGGCCAGACTCCCTGGTGCCCAGCGACAGGACAAGAAGCAATGGGCACAAACCGAAATACAGGAAGTTCTGTCTGAACATCAGGAAAAACTTCTTGACTGTGAGGGTAACTGAGCATGGGAACAGGTTACCCAGAGAGGCAGTGGAGTCTCCTTTGCAGGAGATATTCAAAACCCGCCTGGATGCAATCCTGGGCAATGTGCTTTAGATGACCCTGCTTAAGCAGGGAGGTTGGACTAGGTTATCTCCAGAGGTCCCTACCAACCTCATCCATTCTGTGATCTAGTGTAGGTTTTCCTCTGAAAAGTTTTTTAACCACAGTGTAAGAGAGACAAATAGGTCTTTATGGCTCTGACTGTGCTATCAGTCAAACTACTGATTTGAACCTGCCGTCAATCCCATATTCTCCTGCCATTCATGTTAAGCCTTACTTGGGTTCTGAATCACTAATGAGAGGAAATTCAAGCCCTTATGCTAAGCTTTGAAACAATCTGTAGCTTACCTTATCACAACAGGAGTGAACTTGATTGTGAAGGGTCAAGCATGCTATGTCCAGTCTAGCAATGCATTTTTGAAACATGGTTCTTCCTAAGAACAGGACAAATTTTAGCCTACTCCTATGCCTCCACTTCAGATTCAGGCAATGAGAAGTAAGAAGGTCTGTCTGTGCATTTAAACTAGAGATTGGTCTCTACCTCCAGTTTTTGTTTTATATGCACGTATTTCTGGCACTGGAACAAATTGTCCACCTATAGCAACTATACTAACAAATATAGGGTTTTCCAAGTATCTTTCAAAGGGATTTTCTTCTTCTGGCCCACTTGTAGTTAGTGAGTGTGCTACCCATATATCCATCACCAACAACTTTTATCACAGAGCTCCAACTCTCCTCATCCTCTTGGGGTTTCATTGGCAATTAATAATGAACACAGACAAACTATTAAATAGAATTTTTAAAATTATTTTCCAAAGTTTTCTATAAGACATTGTCAATTTGTTAATATTTAATTGTATGAGAAAATACTGGAAAGCTAACTACATATAATTTGCTAAACAATGGCTATATACATTAGTTGGTAGATAATGATACAAGTCTAGATCTGTATATGAATATTATATGTATTTTCAAATATATTAAC